TGAATTGGATTGGTGCTGCAGACAATGACTAGCCGCCGTGTCCCTTCAACGTACGGCTACGCCGGACATTCTTCGTCTTTGAAAAGGACGAGGACCGGAAATGGTGGTTTGTCCTCCGGCTCAGATAGGCGAGGAATGATGGTAAAGTTTGGGCCTGTTAGGGATGTTGATTGTGCTCTCGTGCGCTGGGAAATGTCAGGTTCCGAAAGGTGAGACCATGGCTGTCTGAGGTAACTAAGATGTAGTTTTTTACATTGGGTCCTTCGATTGGGCATGCTTACTGTTCTTATGGCCTACGAACGACATGCTCGAATGAAGGGTAATTACCTGTGGAATTGGGGGACATCACCAATGGTTAGGCGGAGTTGGATTCGGTATTTTCTGACTGGGACTGCTGTAGATAACGGAAATAATGTAATTAACAATCCTACGGATGTTGATGATAGGTCCAGATCACTATCGCATATCTTGTCGTCGTAGGGGATCTTGACTGAGCGCTTTGGTCTCTTTCCTTGGGCTGTCTTTTTGTGAGGACATGATACTCTACAACCCAAAAGGAGAGGTAGAGTGTGGGTGGGGTAAAAGTATCTAGCTAATCACTGCCCACGAAACAAAAGCTGAGGGGCTGTTGGGTTGTAGGTTTCGTGGGTAGTGACCGAGTTACGGTGAGAGGTGCCTGTGAGAGCGGAAGCAACTTGGGTGAATATGAAGAAATGGTTCCATGCAACTCAGTCATCGAGCATCCTAAAATGTCCAGTCATCAGTGTCCCAACGTTCATTGATTTCAATGGCGGTTTCACTTCCGCTTGTATAGATGCAAGGTTGTGGCGATTTGTGACATATGCCTGTGTGCGATACGCAAGTTGCTGCATATGTGGCGGCTCGGAGTGAAGAAGTTTTCTGCGGCACTCAATGCGCTGATTTGAAAGTGCAGCGAATGTTTGCCTGCGGAATTTGCGTGCAAGTGCAGAAGACTAAATTGCCTCGAGTATTGGAAGGCGGCTGAATACCGGCACTTGCTTCTTTACACCGGCCCGGCAGTCTTAGAATTTTTTCTTTGACCAGAATCGCTATTAACGTTTTGTAAAGTTGTTTATCGCCGTGTACATATTTTGCCATTTCCGTTTACACTAGACGTTTATTGACTTTGCACGCATTATTTTGACTACTTTTGGTGCAGACTGTGGTAGGTTGTATCATCCAGCTGATGTTGTGTACAGTGTTCATTGCCTGGTCCACCTACACGAAGATGTTGCACGGTTTGGAGTGCTAGATAACATTTCGGCATTTAGTTTTGAGTCTTTTTTGCAAAACGTCCGCAGTTGCATAAAAGGACCAGCGAACGTAGCCGCACCGGTGTCTAGACGCATTAATGAAAGACGCCTGGACTGAGTTGTCCACAGGTGCCACGCTGTTGGACGACGATGAGGGAGTGCCACGGTGTTTGCAGATGCCCCGCAGTTCCAAAGCCATTTTTCATAATGGGTATATGTTGTCTACCGAAGCATCCCACAATGAGTGCCTGGTGAAGATGCGAATCGACGCGAAGGACAGACCACCTCTTTCGGCCTTTGTCCTTTCCGAAGAGAAAGAGTTCTGGCATGGCCTTAAGTTGAAGGGGCAAGGCATCTTGTCTTTGTCCTCGGCGCCAATCCAATTTGCAATGTGAAACCTAAGACAAGGGAATTCGGGGCTTGTCTTGAATGCCGGATAATTCTCCATTAGGTGATCGGCGCATTGAACGATCGTCAGGTGCCACTGGACCTCCTTCAACATCTCCGGGGCGTGTACTTTCAGCTTCTCACCACCAGCTCCCGCCCAGCGTGCAATGGTCTCAACAACTGCCTCCTGAGAGGGGATGTTGGAGGATAGGCCTCCTGAGTAATATAAGTGCAGATAAGATACATTTTCAACGCCGGTTCCCGTGGCCGTCGTCGGACGCAGACGCTCTGCGTCTTGTCCCATAGAATATGGATATAAATGTACATATAGAGCTGCTCGTTGGTGGTTAAAGTCACTCGCGCAGTTGGCCGACCAGGTGTGCTCCCTGTCATTCTGGGTAATTTTGTGAAGTGAACTAGCTTGCCAATAGAAATAGTGCTGATTTTGCTTCGAAGGAAAAATCTGTAAGTGTGGTCAGAGGAGGAAGCTATTGCACGTTGGGTGGATGCTACTGGCGAGGCTGATAATGAGAAGCTGAAAGTACACGGTCCGGTGG